GCTACTGCATTGGGCCCAGAACCTTGGCTTTCATGTATGTAATTAGACTGAAGGGTTTATGAGCTCTGCATAAAAAAAAAAAAAAGTGAAAAAGATGTCTTCTCCGCAAGCACACGTGCTTTCCTCATCCTGACCACTAGGGAGGACTTTAGAAATGTCCCCTTAGACTGGTGGTGCACTTTCTGATTTGTCAGACCTGCAGGCCACTTCTCTCTTCCCTCCAGTGGGATGGTCGCCACGGTGAGCTGTGGAGTTCCCCAGCTGAGGACAGAGGAAAGCCACTCCCACATTGTGAAGCCACTCCCACCGAGCTCTCCAATTGGACACAGTCAAGTTTGGAAAGTCCAGGCGAGAAGTGCCTCTTTCCCCCTGAGTGGCCAGCAACCAGGGTCATGGGGCTGTGATGGTGCACCCACAGGCACCTGGGAGCCTTCTAGAAACTTCCACTGCAGCATGCATGGTGAGGGGCCACTCTTGATGCTCTCTGCTTCACATCCATCCCTCCCACTTCCCACTAGCTGCCCAGACTAGTAGTCCTGGCACAGGAAATCCAGCCCACACCATCCTCCCTTTAGCTCTCACTGCCACCTATGCCCCTCTGGTTAGCTCCTCTCCTGGGGACTCGGCCCTGCTAACCCTACCAGGGTCCTGTGCCTTCTAGTCCCTATCATCCATCTACAGCCTGCCCCTCCCCTCCCCCAGCCTGGCCACCCTAGATTCTCACGAAGGATCTCATCTCAGAGGGTTCACCATGGGGACCCTGGCTGATCCTTGATCACTTATCCTTTCTCACAGCTTTCCTAGCAAAGTCTACCTGGAAAACGACTTCACCTGTGTTATGGCTCTGGGCCAACCCTGCCTCTCCCCTGAAGCTCCTCCTGGCAGGCTTGGGGTTGCCTGGTCCCCTGCTTCACCCCAGTGATCTCCCTGAGCAAGGTACATTCATGTCTTGGTCTTCCTGGTAGACCCGGGGTGGAGAACAAGAGCGGGGGATTATGTCCGGCGTGAACTGTATACTCCAGCAGCTAATTCAACTGTGTTCATTGAATGAATGGGAAGGAATCCTTATGCTTGGAGTAGTCTGTGATTAGCAATTTGAAGTGGGCCACTCACCAACTGCTGTATTTAGCGCCTCTAGGATTTTTTTTTTCTAGAAAATATACTGACTTGGACAGCCATCCTGATGGAGCCTGCTGTTGAAATATTTCCTGAGTGTTCAAATGTGCGAAATCTTCCTCTGCCACAGCCGCCAGCAGCCCTACCCTCCAGCCCTGACTAGAGGAAGCAAGAAGGGTCCTTTCAAGCTAGCTCCTTCCTGGCCTCATGGTCTTTAACCAAGACCGGGACGCAGCACATGATCCTCCGGTGACTCTGTGCCAAAAAGTCGTAAGACTGGAGTGTGTCAGATGTGGGAGAAGCCAGTTTGGGGGTGACAGAGTGGGTGAGTAGCTTTCCCAAAGGGTTTGGCATCATTAGCCACCCCTCCATGCAGGCTGTAAGACCAAGCTGCCTCCCAACACACACACACACACACACACACACACACACACACACACACACACACACACACACAGTTGGCTCCCTGCCAACAGCCGGGTGATGGACACAGGAAGAAAGGAAGGTACTGTGACGACACCATGGATATGGGCACATCGAAGGTGGAGGAGGCTCGCGCCCTATGCCCATTCAGGGAGCTCAGAGCACTTGCTCTCTCGCCAGTCCTCCCAAGTTACCTGAGTGTCCCTTTGTGAGCCATGGGAAGAATCCAGCACCCACAAGGTAGACCTTCGAGGTGAGGTGCAGATGCAATTCTTGGCCACACCAGGGGTATAGAGCAGACAGCCCTCCTTGCACAGGTCACTTGGCAGTTGGGCTCAGGGAACTGGCTTCTCTGGCCCAGAAGGAGAAGTGCTGCCATGGCCGCATTCCTGCCACTGGGTATGGGCATGGCACTGCCCAGGACAGCAACAAGAAGAGAGCTGCACGGATGTGGGGCCAGACCCCGTGTCCTGCCCAATGCAACCAGCAGCCCAAAATATAGGAGACAGACAGGGGTGAAAGGAGTCAGTTGGGACCATCTCCAAGGACACCTTTCTAGCAAAAGCTCAGATGCCTGGAGACCCCAGGGAGCACTCATGGGCCTCCTTCTAATTTATAATGTCACCTATGGGCCTCCCGTGTTACAATGTTACCGGACTCTCCTGTGTTACAATGTTACCTTCCCTTAGGGAAGGGCTGTGAATAAGATGGCCCCATGTGACACGGCAGAACCGCTGGCCACACCTGCAGGAGTCCAGTGGCTGCCTGCATCCTTCCATCTGCTGTGGGCATAGCAAGGATGTGCCCCAGAATGGAGATATTCCACTCTGCACTGGGGACAACACCTGCTTTGGTGAATGCTACGCAGTACACCTGGCTAACCACCGTGTGTGTGTGTGTGTGTGTGTGTGTGTGTGTGTGTGTGTTCCTGTTCCCTACATGCAGCTACAGTCATAGGCCACCAGCCCTATTTCCTCAACAAGCTTTAACACCAAACTGTTAGCAACCACCCTCCATGTGCATTATTGTATGCAAAACCTGACAGTCACACTTCTGGTCAAGCCAGAAAGCCTGAAGTCACGTGGAGCAGGAGGCCAAAAGCAAAAGGGAAAGGGGTCCCTGCCCCTTCAGGAGGGGGATGCAGAGCCTCTCCCCCTTCTCCTTCCCTGCCCCCAAAGTCCGAGGTGATCTGGGAAGAACTCAATTTACACCCTCGGGCCCCTGTGGGCTGGGGGATCAGTGGAGGGCGGGCTAATCCCAGCTTCTCGAGCAGATGGTTTCTGGCTACCGCTTGACCCAGTTCCCTCCCAGCAGATGACTGGCAGCAGGGCCACCAGTTTAGCCACCAGGGGAGCAAAGCGCGGACCCTCCTCCCAGCCTCCTTGTCCCTCCTCCTTCACGCAAGGACACGCTGGCTTTCGCTGTTCCCTGGTGTCAGGTCAGCAGGCAGGATGGCGTGCCTTCTGGAAGGTGGGGAGCCATCCCTCTCCCTCCTTTTGCCCAGCATTGCCTGGCAGGGGCGGGGATGGCTGGCCAGGAATATTACTACAAGGGGGGTGCCGGGAAGGAGGTTTGGGGTGGGGAGTGGGGGGCGGGGCCTGCTTAGGCGTAGCTTTGGTTCCTGCAGACAGCAACCAGAGCTTCTGCGAGCTCTCTGTGGTCATCGATGAGGGTCTGGCATAATGTGCAGCCTGGTCCCTACATCAGGAGGTAGACAGGTGCCAAGCCCACGTTGTGAATCACGGCATAGCAAAGCGAGGGACCAGGCTGGGAGAGACAGCAGAACTGCCCCCTCCGTGTGGAAAGGATTGCAAGGCTCGGGGCGCACCCTGAGCCGCAGGAGCTGGGCAGGAGGCAGAAGGGTGCCCAACTCGAGATCGCCTCTCCCGCGGGAGGGGGTGGCCAGCTTCCTCCTTGAGGATGGGTCAACTCCAAAACCCCGCCCAAGTTTTGCCCTGCAGACTTCAGGTCGTTTCCTCTGCTTGGGAGGGAGGGGGCGCTCGGCCTCCAGGCTGGCGGGTCTCAGCGGCCCGCTCAGCTCTTGCCGAGCTCCCTAACTGCGGTGCTTAGTCCCGGGAGACGTTACCACAAGGAGGCAAGGAGGACTTCCAGCCGGGAGGCCACGTTCTATCTGGGAGTGCCCGCTACATTGCAAGAAACCCAGAAGGATCTTGCGGTTCCTGTTTTGCTTCTGCGATTATAAATCCGCCTGCTGCAGGGCCAGGCCGGCCAGTGGAGGGGACTTGGAAGTCACCTGTACAACACACCTACTCCCCACTCAACAGGGTTAGGTCGGGAGCTGTGGAGGGAACAAAGACACGAATGGTATTTGGGGTCTGGATGGGGACAGAGGTCAGGTTCCCATGGATGGCGATTAGAAAGAAAAGTGCCCTGGAATCAGCGACTGCTGGCTTCCCTCTGCCATGCAGGTGGCACAGGTGTCGCTCGCTGTGCCCCTTTCACACAGAGCGAGGCGGTGGAGACCACCGAGGAGGAGGGCTCGGTCTAAGGTGACCCCATGCAGAAGTGAGTCCCAGCTGGGGTCAGGATTGGACTGGAACAACATGTTGGAGACCCCGCTGGGGCTGGCGAGCCCGGAGGCGCTGGAGCCTTGAGGCCGAGTACTTCTCTCTTCTGCCCCGCGCGATCCGGGCGTCCCTCGGAGCCTCCTCCATCTGAGGCTGGGCGAGCCTCCAGCGGCCGCTGCCTCTGCTACCTTCCAGCCCGGGAGCCAGGAAGCCCGGGAGATGAGAGGGAAGGTCCTGTAGCCGGGAGCCACATCCACCTGCGAAGACTACCTCGCGTCAGAGTGGCAAACCCAGACAGCACCCCTCCTCCCCCCACCAGCTCCCCATCTCGCTTTTTCTGGCATTCCGGGGAGAGAGAGCCCTAGGTTGGCTGGAGATGGCCGGCCGGGGCGGTGCGGGAGTCGCTTCTCCTGAACGGGACAGGGGCTGGCACACTCGAGGGAGGGGAGGGGAGCGAGGCGAACGCCAGGAGCTAGCCTTGCCGCCCGCAGCCCAGCTGGGCGAGGATGCGGGGCACCCACGTGGTGGTAATAAAGTTTGGAGTCAGCCGAAGTGTCTGGGCATTGCTTGGGGGGGGGGGCGGGGAGGACACGGGGAGGGGAGAGGGCAGGCTCGCCCCTCCTCCTCCTCTTTGCCCAGGCAGAAAGGGAAAGGGGCCGTAGGGAGCGGTGGTGGGCGGGCAGCACCGACCCAAACAGATTCCGCCCCCTCCCCCGAGAAGCGAGCGGGGAGGCGCACGGACCGTCTCCTCCCGCACGGCCAGGACGCCGCTCCCTCCCCCTTCCTCTGCCAACGTCTATCTCCACGCGCGCGCACAGACGGAGCCTGTGCGGCTTTTTTATCCCTTGGGAGAAAAACCGCGGAGAGTAAGAGGAGCGAGGGCGCCGTGAAGAAGTCGTCCTCAGCGCGCTCCGCACTCCGTGCCGCGGCCAGGCGCGGGGACGCAGCCACCGCCGCCCGCGCGCTCTCTTCCCTGCCTGAGGTTTGTGCCAGTGCGAGCGCCAGCCCGGAGCCCGCTGCAAGACTTTTGGGCGCTCGAGCTCCGATCGCCGCGGTCGGCAGAGGAGCCCCGGCGAGAAGGGCCCTGCCTCCGCCTCGCCCTCGGCGCGCGCGCGGCGCCCCGCGCAGGCAAGAAGAGAAGGAGGCAGGCGGAGCAGAGGGCCCCCCGAGGAGGCGCGCAGCGGTCGGCCCGCCCGTGGATGCGGCGCTCCGGGAACCTGGAGAACAACTTTGCCGCGTGACGCTCCGAGAGGACTGCAGGGCCCGCGGCCGAGGGCTCGGCGCCGCTGCTAAGCGGGCCCGCGCTCGCTCCGCACCGCCGCCCGCCGGCCCGCCCGCGGAGGGGGGACGACCCGCCCGTGGCCGCCCGCAGCCAGCCGCCCTTCCCCGGCGCTCAGGTGCGAGCGAGCGCGGGGGGAGCCCCTCCGCAGCGCCGCGCCCGGCTCCGCTCCGTGGGGGCTCCGAGCGGCCGGCGCCTTCGCTTCGCGGTCTCGGCCCAAGTTGCGTCGTCGCCCAAGCCTCTCTCGCCACCTTCCCCGGCCCGGGCCGGCCGGCGGGGTCGAGCCGCTGCTTTCGCTTCCACCAGAGCGGGGAGGGGAGGGAAACCGCGGGGCTCGGACGCGCCGAGGATGGGCGGCAGGCTGCAGACGCCGAGGCGCCCCGAGACGCCCGCGCGCCAGTGACCCGCCGCGGCTCCGCCTCGCTCGCGGGCGCGCCCCTCCGGGTCCTCCCCGCGCGTCCCGCCGGCCTCGGCGCCCCTTCTCCGCCGCGCGGGAACCCCCGCGGCCCGGCCGGCCCCCTCCCCCTGCCAGCCGGCGGCAGCCCTCCCGGCGAGCGGGCGGAGGCCCGGGCGGGGGCGGGGCGGGGCGGTGCGCCCGGAGCCCGGAGCCCGGCCCTGCGCTCGGCTCGGCTCGGCTCGCCTCGCCGGCGGGCGCCCTCGTCCCCCCAGCGGCACACCATGGACGGGCTGCCCGGCGGTCGGGCGTTGGGGGCCGCCTGCCTTCTGCTGCTGGCGGCCGGCTGGCTGGGGCCCGAGGCCTGGGGCTCCCCCACGCCCCCACCGTCGCCCGCCGCGCCGCCCCCGCCGCCTCCCCCGCCGCCCGGAGCCCCCGGCGCGCCGCAGGACACCTGTACGTCGTGCGGCGGAGGTGGCGGTGGCGGCGGTGGCTTCCGGCGGCCCGAGGAGCTGGGCCGGATGGACGGCGACTTCCTGGAGGCGGTGAAGCGGCACATCTTGAACCGCCTGCAGTTGCGGGGCCGACCCAACATCACGCACGCCGTGCCCAAGGCCGCCATGGTCACGGCCCTACGGAAGCTGCACGCGGGCAAGGTGCGCGAGGACGGTCGCGTGGAGATCCCGCACCTCGACGGCCACGCCAGTCCGGGCGCCGACGGCCAGGAGCGCGTCTCGGAAATTATCAGCTTCGCCGAAACAGGTGGGTCCTGCCCTCCGGGAGGTCGGGTACTGCCTGTCCCCCCCCACCCGCCACCCCTTCTCCTCCTCCTTCCCACTCCCGTTCTTCTGCTTGCGGGCTCTGGCCGCCGAAACCGCAGCCCGAGCGCACCACGAGCGCCCTGGGCTCCCAGCCCGGCCGGTTCCACCGTAGCTCCGCGTGCTCCACCGGCTCGCCACCCTCCCTCCTCCTTTCCCAGGCTGCAGACCCCTTTCCTGCTCCTGGTGCCTGGCCACAGCCACCGCTGAGCGCGGGCCCTCCGCCCCAGGTCGCCCCAGCGCCTCTGGACGCGCGGCCCCCTCCCGGCAGATGCGCGCGGCCCTGGCTCTGCGGGCGCTCGCTTGGCGATTGCCTAATGTTTTTGTTTCCCACGATCGGAGTGTAGGCTTAGGCGAGTGGATGGAGATGTGTGTGCTTGTTGATATACGTGGGCCGGAGGAGCGTGTGTGCGTGTGTGTGTGTGTGTGTGTGTGTGTGTGTGTGGTGTGTGCGCGCGCCTACCCGAGAGGCCCCCGGGGGTGCTTCCACCGGCTGAGCGGGGCGGGTGCTCGGCAGCGTGGGCTTTGCCAGGATTGCTGAAGCCTCGCTGGGGAGAGCTAGGCAACCTCTTCCGATTGTGTGGGCATTAGAATCGGGCGGAAGGCAGGCTTCTCAACAGGTCCATCATTTACACGGAGAAAAGACGCTGCTCCGGGGACAGCCCCGTGCCTCTGGCCTCGCCTGGCAGCGGGCACAGTCCCTGGGTCCGAAAGAGAACCACAGAGTCCCTAGTTAACAAAGGGCAGGACTGAGTCTTGGAGCCCACCCTCCCTCAACACATATACATATGCACACTCCCGGCCCTAGACTGCAAATTTTTACCAGATAGAAAGCCAGGAGGGAGAAGACATCTTTTAGAACTTAGAGAGAGAGAGAGAGAGGAAAATGTGTCTGTGTGGAAATGCTGCAAGTGCCTTCGACTTCGCTGTCCTTTTCAGGACTTGAATGAGCCAGGCTGGCTTTTGTGCCTGGAGCTTGGCCCCATTTATGCCGAGGGAACTGCAGAGGAAGGTCGCAGAGGGGGAAGCCCCGTGCAGCTGGGGGTTGGAGGTGGGGGTGGGGAAGAGAGCGGCTGTACCCCTGGCTGCAAATGTGCCCCTCCAGGCAGCGTCAGACCCGCACTGATGCCACTTGCTGATGAAAAAGGATGAAAAGTTTTGCATGGCCGGATGTGGAGAAAAGCAGAGAAAGACAATTGGAGACGAGGCTGTGCTTAGAAAGACCAGCATTGCCATTTCGCCCAGTCTCCCCCTCCGCCCTCCCTACCCCCCAGCCCCAGGGGGAAGCTCCGTGGAACAGTGAGGAGGTTTGGATTCAAAGGTGCTCCCCTGGCCCCTGGGGTTGCAAATGCGACGCCGGAAGGTCGAGGAGGCCTTTTGGTGTCTGTGGCACAGAATGCCAGCAGGGCTGTTATATTTCGGGTCCCATTGGCGGAGCCAGCCTCTTTGACTTTATAAAAATAACAGATTCAGGTCACAGGCAGCTCGCCCAAGACCGGCTTCTAAAGACTAAAGCTTTTCCCCCTGGTTTCAAAGTCAGATGGTAGTGTTATTAGGAGGGGTCAGGCCGGGCCTGAGGAGGGGACTGGGACCTGGCAGGTGGATGGGTGTGGGAGTGTGTTGGTGTCAGGTTTGATGAAGCCAGTGGTGGCCAGCAAGTGGCCTTGTTGATTCCTCCTGCAGAAGGGGAAGAAAGGAAAGTGGAGGGTTTTTTTTGGGGGGGTGGGGGGAGTGGAATGGGAGGGTTCTCAATTGCAGGAGTCGGTTCTCAGCTGGTGCATCCCAAGTTCCTAGTGAGCCGTGTGACTGAGGAACGCTAATAGCCCAGGTCCCTGCCTCGCCTGGAGGATGCCAACCGAGCTCTGTTCAGGGACAGCCAGGGTCTTGTGAGAGCAAACTGAACGCCCAGGCTTGCATGTCCCATACTTCTACCGCCTCCCCAAGCTGCTCAGAGCAAGGACTGTGAAGTTCCCAGCCTGCGTGGCAAGGGGACCGGCCGGCTGGCTGGCTGGCTGGCAGTGGTAGTTCCAGCGGAGGGGTTAGAAGCAGATCCTGCTTAGGTAAACACAGAAGAGAGGCAGTAGGTGGCTCAGCTCGGTTTTGCAATGCCTCGAGTTAAGCAGAAGGAGAGACACCTAGCAAAGCACCCGCCCCCTCCTCCCTGCCATCCTGGTTTTTTTGTTTTCCAGATTTCACAGATACCCATAACAACTTGTTAAGACCTTGGCCTCCTGACAAGTTCCTCTGTTGAGCTTTGAGGCTTGGTGGGCCAGTCTCCAGGGAGCCCTGGCCTAGGAGAGGTGAGGCAGGGTTTTGATTTTTTTTTTTTTTAATTTTTGAAACAGGCCCAGTCCCCGCAGCTGCAGCCTGGGCCAGGTTTTTCAGTGGGCAACAGTTTTCTCTGCCCTCCCCAGGTGCCAGGAGCTGGAATTGTACCGGTCAGTAGCATTGCCCAGCTGTGTGGCAAATACGCAGGGTAGCGTCAGGCAGCTGAGAGAGTTCATTTCCCCTTCTTCCTCCTGCTGGTTCCCAATCCTGTGGCCTGGTGTGCCCTTTACCCGCCCTGCACCCAGGACGAACCAGGCCTGCTCTGCTCTTGTCTCCACAGATGGCCTGGCCTCCTCCCGGGTCCGCCTGTCCTTCTTCATCTCTAATGAAGGCAACCAGAACCTGTTTGTGGTGCAGGCCAGCCTATGGCTCTACCTGAAACTGCTGCCGGGCGTGCTGGACAAGGGCAGCCGGCGCAAGGTGCGCCTCAAGGTGCACTTTCAGGAGCAGGGCCGGGGTGCCCGCTGGAGCGTGGTAGAGAAGCGGGTGGACCTGAAACGCAGCGGCTGGCACACCTTTCCGCTCACGGACGCCATCCAGGCCCTGTTTGAGCACGGTGAGCGACGACTCAACCTGGACGTGCAGTGTGATGGCTGCCCAGAGCTGGCTGTGGTACCTGTGTTCGTGGACCCCGGTGAGGAGTCGCACCGGCCCTTCGTGGTGGTGCAGGCGCGGCTGGGTGACAGCAGGCACCGTATCCGCAAGCGAGGCCTGGAGTGCGACGGGCGGACCAACCTCTGTTGCAGGCAACAGTTCTTCATTGACTTCCGGCTCATCGGCTGGCATGACTGGATCATTGCGCCCACCGGCTACTACGGGAACTATTGTGAGGGCAGTTGTCCAGCGTACCTGGCTGGGGTGCCGGGCTCTGCCTCCTCCTTCCACACAGCTGTGGTGAACCAGTACCGCATGCGGGGCTTGAACCCTGGCCCTGTGAACTCTTGTTGTATCCCCACCAAGCTGAGCTCCATGTCCATGCTGTATTTCGATGATGAGTACAACATTGTGAAGCGTGACGTGCCCAACATGATTGTGGAAGAGTGCGGCTGTGCCTGATGCCGCTGCCGGCCCAGGGAGGGCATGGAGGATGGGGATCCCCTGGGGTGGGGTACACTGCTGCTGCTGCTGCTTCCAGCCACTGGCAGGGTGGGGGTGCTGAGGCCTGAAAGCTTCCCCCAACACTCCCCACCCCCAGCCCGCAGCTTTGAAGAGCAAGCAGCCGGAAGCGGAGCCAACAGCCCTCAACTGACTTGCAAGACACTTGCCAACGCACATGCAGACACGCACAGCCGGCCGCAGCCTCCTGCAGCCCAGCCGGACGGAGATGCGGTGACAAACGGCAGCCTAGCTACCCCTGGTTCTTGGTTGGAAGGAATGGAGGGGATGGTAGTGGGCAACCACCAGCCCCACCTGCTGACCTGGCTGCCTGGAACTGCCCCCTCAGAGCACACATGAAAGCACAAAGATGGAGACCCGGAGGGAGAGGAGAAAGTGCAGAAGCATATGCACCGTGGGAGCCTGCTAACAGGCAGGCAAGGGGCTGCCTGGTTCCCTGGGAGTGTGCCAGGAGAGGCCTGTTTTATTACAGCCAGAGGTGGCTCCTAGTGTAGGCTTGCACTCCACCTGGCACCCTTAGGGCTGCTGCACCAGGGGCCCAGGGAGGACACAGCAACCTGTTAGAGACCATTTGACATTTGTCACTTGGGTCCCTGCTGTGACTTAGAGAGGGGTGTGTGTGTGTGTGTGTGTGTGTGTGTGTGTGTGTGTGTGAGAAGGGTGGGGAGGGAGAGAAAGCAAGGTCTTAATTTGATGCTTTAACTCCAACCGGTTGACCAGGTCATCCATGCTAGCTGTGTAGTCACAAAGGGGACTTTGCTACTGGCTAATTGACTTTTTAAGTTAAAAAAATAATCTGATTATTCTATATGAGAAGAAACAAAAGTTGCAATCTATGCCCTTCACCAGGGGACATTCCTCTAGGGCTGTTTGGGGGGAAAGGGTGGGAATGGCTACCCAGGCTCAGAGGGTGAGCCCAGGGGAAGGCAGTGTTAGGAGGGGGTGTGTGGCTGGGGAGGGGCCACCACTTAAAGGTGGGGGTGTTCGTGCTTGGGCCCCAACCACCAAGGACTGATTGTGGATGTAGTCCCTGTCCACCTGCCCACTTGCCCGTCCATCCGCGTGCAGCCCTGCCTGGTCGCCCGTGGTGGAGCCCTTGCTGACTTACGTGTGCTCAGGAGCGGCCGCTGGCAGGGCAGCACGCTTGGTCGCGTGCCCTCCAAGTGCCACGTGAACTATGCAATTCCAAGGGTTGAGCCACACACTAGGCGAAACTGGACTCGTATGACTTTTTTTTTTTTTTATATTTTTTATACTTGAAATGAAATCCTTTGCTTCTTTTTTAAGCGAATGATTGCTTTGAATGTTTGCACTGATTTAGTTGCATGATTAGTCAGAAACTGCCATTTGAAAAAAAAATTATTTTTATAGCAGCAAAAAAAAAACCCACAAATGAATACAAGTTAAGTGTATTATACATAATTTTGGAACCAAAGAGGCCAACAGATCAGTTGTAATTTTTACTAGGTGGTAAGGCCATCTTCTGTGAGGTGGATGTCACAAACAACCCTTAAGTGGCCTGCCTGTGTTTTCAGGGTATAAGCAGATTTTGTTTATTCAGTTTGATGTGTCTTTTCCATTCTTACACACCCAGAAGGTAGAAGAACAAGGGCGATGGTAGAAGGCAGGTGTGTATCCTTAGTTCCCATCTTTATGTTTATTTAATAAAGCTTCTCCCTGTAGGTTCTGTTTCATAATAATTTAAAACCAAACGATGTGCCCGTAGACTTGGCTGATAAAGTATTTCATGTCTGTGTACAGTTCAAGAAAATAAAAGACAGAGTGCCATGGGCTTTCTCCCTTGTGTGATGGTGTCTGGGGCTGTGTGGGGGGCATGACTCAAAGGTGGGGTGGGGTGAGGTGGAGGGTAGAGGGCATGGCCAGGTGTCCCCAGCTCCTGGCCGGCTAGCCGGGAGAGAGGCACTTGGAAATGTCTGGTGAGCTGGGCAGGAGAACGAACCACAGGACGATGAGCAGATTCATGGATTCGTTGTTCCAGTCCCGACAATGATGATGTTGTACCCAGGTTGCCTCTGTTACCTTGGGAAAGTTCCCTTTAAGCCCTTGGGGGGTGTATGAATGATGTGGAAGGCTAGAGGCCCCCTTCCCTCCAGGCTTCCCTCTAGCGGGTGGGTGGGAGACGACCATCACCCCAAACGGACTTGGATCTCTTGGGATCAAGACTTGTCCTTTCTTCCTGGGGGGTGGGGGGAGATAAGGGGGAGATAGGGGTTACTCAGGGGTAGATCAAGCTGGCGGTGGCAGGGGGGTGTTGTAAAAACAGCTGCAAATTCTTCTAGTCTTGTTTGCCCAGAGCTGGGAATCAGGTGCTCTGTGAATCCAGGGCCTGCCCGAGGTTCCAGTGTATTTGCATGCAGGGGCCACCTGTGTCCCCAGAGGGTTTCCCAGCTCTGGCCTTGCAGAGGGAGGCCTCCAAGGCAGGTGCCAGAGCTACTCTGAATGCACACCACTGGGCTTTGGTCTGAATCAGGGCTTTTGTCTGCAAAGTCATGAAAACAGCATCAAAATGCACAGGCCAAGAAGAGAGTGGGGTGGATCTCCCAGTACCCCAGTGGATCCAGTCTGCTCTGGGTGCAGACTCTGGGAGGGCCTGGATATCATGCAGTGCTGTGGTCTGCAAGGCAGGGTCGGTGTGGTCCCTGAGTGGTGCCGAGCTGCCCCGTGCTGGAGTCTGGCTGCCTTGGGGCACCTGCTGAGGGGAGGGTGCAGCCTCCCAAGTCACCTGCAGTTGTGCTCTGTCTTCTGCTACTGCTCTCTCCCCAGTGGGCCCAGGAGAGAGGATCCCACCTCGCTCTGAGGGCACGCACGGGACGCGGGACCCAGGCCACTCCCTGTTACTCCATTCTCAGCACTACCTAGTCCTGAGTCCACCCTCATCCTCCCATTACTATGCCTGAAGCCCCCCTAGGCAGGGGTCATCCTTGTATGAGCTACAAACCTGCCTAGTACCCAGCAATGGGACTGGAGACCTAGATGGAGTCACTGGGGAAGGGGGAAGGCAGCTCCTGCTCCTGCCTCCCCTTCTCCTTCTCTTCCATTTGCTAGTCAGCAGACGAAGTAGCTGGTATCAGAGGTCCTGGTCCATGTCCATTTAGCCATGCAAGGGATGCCTCGGTACTAGCCATAGGCTGGGAACGCTGTTTAAAGAGGTAGGGCCAAACCCCTGATCCACTTGCATCTCAGGCTGGCCCAGTGTTGTGCCAGTGAAGGGCCCTCAGCAAGGTCCCAGTGCATCTGTCGGGTTCTGCAGGGGCTGCTGAGTAGGGTGGGGCCTAACGGTAGGGTGGTGGACAACATAGTCTAGCTGCTTGGAGTGTAGACAGGGTAAGGCACAATAGTATGCTGGGCTCTGTGTGTGTGCTGGTCTATGTGGGGCTTACACTGCAGGTGTGTGTGTGTGTGTGTGTGTGTGTGTGTGTGTGTGTGTGTGTGTGTGTGTGTGAGTGTGTGTGTGATGTTGTGTGGCACCAGGTTGCAGGTATATGTATGTATTGGGCTGAGTGGGGTGTGGGGCTCACACTGCAGATGTGTGTGTGTGCTAGGCTGCAGGGGTGTATGTGTGTGTGAGTGAATGTCTGCTGGGCTCTGTGTATGTGCTGGTCTATGTGGGGCTGATACTGCAGGTGTGTGTGTGTGTGTGTGTTTTCATGCTGTGTGGCACCAGATTGCAGTATATGTATGCGTTGGGCTGAGTGGGGTGTGGGGCTCACACTGCAGATGTGTGTGTGTGCTAGGCTGTGTGGCATCAGGCTGTAGGGGTGTATGTGTGTGTGAGTGAATGTCTGCTGGGTGTGTGTGTGTGTGTGTGTGTGTGTGTGTGTGTGTGTGTGTGCTGGGCCATGCAAGGCTCAGTCCTGGCAGTACAGGCATGCATGGTATGGGTGAGAGGGCACAGGCGTTCCTGTCCTCAAGCAGGGGTGCTGCTCCTGGAGGTCCTACCCTTAGTGACCAGGGCAGTGGCTTGTGGTATGTTCAGAAAGTTTGTGGAAACTGCAAATTATGAAAACACTGTGCTTGGGTTTCAAAAACATATTTTGTGCACTAAGATAATTGTATCACTTTAGAAAACTTTTTTTAGGGGACAGCTATGTGTCCCAGTGAGTTGAACTTGTGCCTGGGTTGCCTCCATTCCATAACAGAGTGCCTGCCACCGAGTCCTGCCTTCTCTCTGTCTCTGTGCTTTCAAATAAAATAAGTTTTTGAAACACACATTTTCTTTTATTTGAAAGAGAGAGACACAGGCAGAGAGCTCCTATTGCCTGCACCAGCCAGAGCTGGGCCAGATTGAAGCCAGGCACTGGGAGCTCCACCTGGGTGTCCAACACGGGTGGCAAGGACCCAGGTACCTGGCTTATCCCCACTGCCTGTTGGGATCAGGTGCACAGCTGGGGACTTGAACCCAGCGCTCTGAGATGTGGGTGTCTCAACTGGCATCTTCCCTCTAGGCCAGAAGCTGGCTCCGAGCTTATCTTTTATTTTATTTATTTTAAAATCTTTTTTATGTATTTGAAAGGCTGAGTCACAAAGAGAGAGAGGGAAAGACAGAGGGAGAAAAAGAGATTTTCTACCTGCTGGTTCATTCCTAAAATGGATACAATGGCTGGGCTGGGTCAAGACCAAAGGTAGGATCCTGGAGCTCCAACCCAATTTCCCATCTGGGTGCGGAAACTCAAGCATTTGGGCTATCTTCTGCTGTTTTGCCAGGCATGTTAGCAGGGAATTAGACTGAAAGTGGAGCAGCCAGGACCTGAACTAGTACTCATTCAAGACGCTGGCAGTGGCAGCTTAACCAGCTGTGCCACAAAAACATCAGCCTTTTATTCCATTGTTTTCCTAGAGCTTTTTGAAGTGCCCTCTTGGTGTTTAACATGGACCAGTGCTGACAGGCCTGGTACGCTCAGAGTCTGTGATCACCCTCA